TATAGATATTTCTAGTTCTGTATTCTTTTAAGTGATAGAGATTCCATCTTTTTGCTTTTATTGCTCTTGTTCAGACCATTTCCAGCACTTTTCCTATTTCCTTCAACTGATTGGTAAAATTCTGAAGAAGAAAATGATCATATTTTACATTTCCAAATAAAAATTACAATAACATCAACCATCTAAAATTAATATATTTATGAATGAAAGCATGCATCTTGAATACTGATGTAAGGCACTTTTTATATTTTGCAAGATTATTAATATTGTACATGTTGTAAGAGAACCATTTCCTGATTGGAAAATAAGGAATATACAAGTGGAATTTATCACTGCCCTATACCAATGACAATTTATTTATCACTGCCCTACACCAATGACATTTCATTAACTTCGGATTTATATCTAGGAATAATGGACAGTAGATAAGCATTCCAGTGCATCTAAAAACCGTAGATTCAGTATCAAATACATTTGTATTAAATCTGCTGCTTTGCTAATATTTCTTTAAAAACCGGCCATTATGCACCAGAAATGTTTTCATTTTTGTCTCAAAAGCATTTCATATTAATTTTTGGTGTACTTTCCTAGTTTCAAAAAGGCTACTCAATTGCCAATTACTTTATAACCATCATTTTCTTATGTTGCTTTTTAGCAGTTAGTACAGATATAGTGATTTATCGTAGTCAAAATACTTCTTTGTTTACATGTTGCTTCTTTTACAAACATTATTTCACATTAAGTGCTACTTTCTCCAGGCAACATGCATCTAACATGTTCTAAAGTTCATGTTTGCCCTTTCTAAAGAAGTAAAAATTTATTTCCTGAGCCATGATGTGCCTTTAAAATATCACTTGATTCAGTGATAGTAGACAAATCCATATATCTTTATGGAATATGATTACATTTACAATCATGCAAAAATAAATCCAAACATTCTACTCACTGAATTTAACAAAAATTTTCAACAAACTACGATAGATACACCAGACTTTTTTCAATTATTCATAAAAAAGATCATGTATTCAGGCCATCCTACTTTTCGCCTAACTTAACTTACCCTAAATTGGTCCATCGTAAGTTCTAGTGGATGTGTTTTGAGATTTCCCCCTGCCTCTGCTACTGTCAAGGTCAAGGTCACAAATGGACAGTTTAATTGTTTACATGTGTCTGAGCTCATTGCCATGCCCACTTTCCATTGAACATCAATTAACTGGAAGGGAATATATTAAATACAATGTTTGATAGGGGATGGTTTTTTTTACAGAAATTTAGAAATTAACAAGCTTTTTTTTGAATTATTTTTTTTTATTTAATTTCTGTTTTGGTAGGTTGTAACTCTCAAATTTTGCTTACATTTATTATGTTAAATTTTTTTTACTGTCTATTATTGAATAAAACTAAATAAACTATATAAACATTATATCGCCAACTTAGTGCAATAACTGATTAACTCCCATTAAATTTAGGACTTATTGCGTTACTGCACTAAGGTGACAATATGTTCTCATATTATTGAGTTTATCGGACACTATGCACCTTTACACTCACACAAAACTGAATCTGCTCTATACATTTCTTCTTTTTAATCTATGAAACAACAAGTTAAATTATTGCATATTGCAAATTACATATAGATGTTATTAATTTATATAGATGTTATTAATTTATACAGGTTACAAAACAATACAAACATTATATTGGAAAAGACACTTTTAGTCATTATGAGCATTCTGGTCAGTATCACGTAATATTATAAATGGACAGTTCCAAATTCAATGGTGGACCAGTCCAATTAACAAATTTAACAGGAACACAGCTAGGCGGAGCATTATATGCCCGAACGTGCTTTTTAAGTAAAGTAGTAAAGATGAAGCATTTGTAAGACATTGGAATTAAATAAAGTATGACCTCCTTCAAATAGCAATCCTCCTAAGAAGTTTGAATATTGTGGTCCAAATGTAACTTAAGTTATGCCCCGGAAACTGTTTTCAGTTTTAAAGTAATAGTGACCTTTGACCTTGTGACCCCAAAATTAATAGGGGCCTTCTACCTAATAGGGACAATCATCCTATGAAGTTTGAATAGTGTGGGCCAAATGGAACTTAAGTTATGCTCCGGAAACTGTTTTCAGTTTTAAAGTAATAGTGACCACGACCTTTGACCTTGTGACCCGAAAAATCAATAGGGGTCTCCTGCCCAATATGGACAATCATCCTATGAAGTTTGAACAGCGTGGGCCAAATGAAATTAAAGTTATGCTCTGAAAACTGTTTTCAGTTTTAACTAAATTGGGACCTTGACTTTTGACCTTGTGACCCAAAAATCAATAGGGGCCTTTTACCTAATAAGGATAATCATCCAATGAAGTTTGAATATTGTGGGCCAAATGGAACTTAAGTTATGCTCTGGAAACTGTTTTCAGTTTTAAGGTAATAGTGACCTTGACTTTTGACCTTGTGACCCCAAAATCAATAGGGTTCTTCTATCCAATACGGACAACCATCCTATGAAGTTTGAAATTTGTGGGCCAAATGGGACTTGAAACTTCAAACTTTAAACTTTTTATTTAGTTAAACGCCTGTTTCTATTTAACAATATTCAACGGCGTTGTACAGTACATATAAATAATAAGAATAAACGTGTATATGCATAAGAATATGTGGGTCAACATCAAATGAAAAAAAGAGGCTTTTACATACAATTCCAATTAACATATTTTTAAAAAATTGCAGAGACCATAAAATGATAAAACTAATTGATACACATGTAGCATGAGATAAGACATTAGTTATGCTCCCGAAACTGTTTTCAGTTTTAAGGTCATAGTGACCTTGACCTTTGACCTTGTGACCCGAAAATCTATAGGGGTCTTCTACCCAATATGGACAATCATCCTATGAAGTTTGAATTTTGTGGACCAATGGAACTTAAGTTATGCTCCGGAAACCAAATTTCTAACGGACAGACAGACGGACGGAAGCCAGGGGGGCATAACATAATATGCCCGAAATTTTTTCGGGCATATAAAAAGGAAATTGATGGAAAATATCAAATACCTTACCAACTCCTAACACATGATCCCCAATACTACAAAACATCAACTGCTTGCCCTGAAAATAGTTTAAGGGGCGAGGAAACTGTTATTTATAGAAATGAAACAAGCTGATAATCTAGTATGCCAAAGAAATGTCCTATAGACATCATAAAATTATGTTAAATATCAGACCAGAATTTCAAAGCACCCTTTTAGTCATATCAGAGCCAAAGTTTGAAAATTTAACATTGTACTGGGGGAAAATCCTTATTAAATTATTAAAAGTGCAATAATTTTAGAAAGTTTTGAAATTAAAAGTCAAATCAATGTTTTTCATTTTCAATTCATATTACAAAAATATTACAAAATGATTATTCTTGTAAAACAGAGTTGATTATTTAAGTAAAACAGAGTGAACAAATTGATCTGAAAATGTGCACACAAGTTACTTGTATAGACCTACATCAATGGTATAAAATTCTCTAAAAAAAGTTCCAAATTTAAAGTTGTTAAAGTTTATTACATAAATTTAGCAGAGGAAAGATGCAGCCAGTGCTTTCAGTGGATGATAACTATGAGTTACTATACATGCAAGGAAGGTAGAGATATGATCATATGTGCATGGGTTTATTTTTCAACGGCACAGAAACAATCAAGCAAATTCAATTACAGCCATGAAAATGTATAAGAACATGTACGGATATACTGTTCTATTTTTCAGTACAAGAAAATAAAAGGTAAGAAGCTTTTGGGGATTTCAAATTTGCAGGAAAATTTAAAATATTTCAATTTTTCCCGGAAAAAATTTAGTATATTTTCGATATGCCCATTTTTTTTTTTTTGCAAACAGTTTTGATTTCTTTAAATCTATTAATTTCAAAATAAAAAATTCTATGGTTTTTTTCATTATGTACTAAACGTTTTAAAGCTGGGCCTTTCCTTCAACTTTTTTTCTAAAAGCTCTGGGGATTACTTTTAGAAAAAATAATATTAATGCCCTTTTTGACATCTTTCATTAACCCAACAAAATTTCAAATTTAAAAAATCCTGAAATTTTACCCTTTAATGTTTAAAAAACATTTATGTGTGGAAAAGGGTTTTTAAATTTTAAAACAGGAAACGATCATTTATCACATAAAAACACCTCATGGTAGGGCCCAAATTTCATGTTTCCCGCTTTCTATTTTAGCAAAAGGGAAAAACATATAAATCATTAACAGGGATAAATGTAATTGATATCTAAGGGCCATACATATGTACATATTTCCAGATCATTCCTGTATAGTTGAAATTGAACCTATAGTTTCTGAGGAGTAGTCCGGACAAGCTTCTATGTGGCTGGCAACAAACAAAAAACCACCATATAAACCATATATTCAAGGGTCATTCCTCGGCCAAAAAATATTCAACCGGAAAATCCGTGTAATATGCGCAAGTACTTGAGCTACATATCAATCCTGTAAAGTTTCATCGAAATTGCATTAGTGGTATAAGGAGAATCGTCCAGACAAACTTTAAAATTAATAATAATAAAAGAGCCAGAAAATGCCGAAGATATGCCGGGATACTTTTGTGCTATTCTTAGCTCGATTTGAGTGAAAAGCGTAATAACTTAGTAACAGTTTTGTGTCATTTTTCACAAAAAGAATAACTTTTCTGGAAAAACAAACTGAGCCAATGATCTGATTTTTTATAACAAAAGTTGAGGTCTAGACCTACATGAAATGGGACATTTATCTTGAAAAAAATATTTCAGTCCGGTATGACAAAAAGAAATCAGTGGAGTCGCTTTTACATATCAGAAGCAAACATGAATCATGAACTTAATATAGTTTATCTTTATCATATCTTGTCCTAATGTTTTCTTCAACAAAGGGAAACAATGTCAGTCAGCTTTCTTCAACAAAGGGAGACAACAAATGTCAGATATGAAATACCTGCTCAACAGAGTTATCTTCTTAAGAGGAAGTTAAAAATATATCCAGAAAAACCAAATTACTTTTGTTGTAAACTTATAAATTTTTTTGTTTTTCTTTCAAATACTGAACATCTAGTGACTTCATGATCTTAAATCTGCAGCAGATATAAACAAAAAGGTAAAACTTTAATGATTTCTTAAAATTTATTTCAAAAAGGGGTCAAGTTTTGTATTTGATTAAAGATAAAATGGAAAATTTCTCAAAAACTGACCAGTGTTGATTCAAAAGTCCAAGTTTTAGATTTGATGAGATTTTCAATTCATAGTGTATGTAAAAATAAACAGTATAAATCAATTTTCACCAAATACAAATTCTAAAATACATTTGTCATAAAATAACAAAATTTGATAACCAATACGATGGTGAAGATGGTGATGATATCAACATATTTTAAACAATTTTTCTATAAAGGAAAATTTGACAATTTAACAAACAAACAAAAAATAATAATCTGATAATGGTAATCTTTGAGAAGAAAATAAATTGAATATGTTAGAAACAAACATTAATGATATTTTCAGAATGTATCAAGTACCAAATTACACCCAGACTGTTTCAATCAGATTATCAGAGGTTCTGGCTGATATAGGTGTTGATGAGAGAATGATACTGAAGACGCGAAGAACATGGCTTCTAAAGGAATCACTACACAATATAAATTATCAACTACTTGATAAGGATAGTACTTTAAAATATATTTTTGGGAGTCAATCAGAAGGTACAACTACATTAGAAATGGAATCAGACATAGATCAACTTGTGAACATTAAAACATTTACTGTGATACAAGACTGGAATGACTGGACACCTGGTGTACATAATCTCTTGATGATTGAAGATAATTCTGTATCTCCTGGGTATTGTTTACTTCAATGTCCGGTAAATGATGTTCCTCTTTCTGCTGATGGTGATTCTGACCAATTCTTCTTCCAAGACAGAACAGGAAAATTGTTTGTAAAGAATTCTTTAGTATATATGTTTTATAACGACAGTGAAATACATGGGCCAGCAGGTACATATCAAGGACAACCAGGCTACAAAGATTTAGATAAAGTGTTTGCTCTACATTGTACAAAATGGCCGCAACAAGCTAGACAATGGTTGGATCAAGAAGATGAAGGTCAATGGCCATCTGCTGAAATGAAACAATATTGCAGCAGAACTGGATGCTTTGTTGTTTGCGTTGGATGTAGAGGCAGTAAACATGAGCAAATTGAATGGAGAATATCAACATCTTTAGCAGAAAGGTGTTTAATGTTCGACCTGGATATTACACAGATTCGCTGTTATGTCTTAATGAAAATGATTTTAAAAACATATATAACTCCATTCTTAAAAGATGTGATATCTAGCTACATGTGTAAAACTGTAGTCTCCCACTGTATTGCTAATACACATTCTAACATTTGGAGAAAAGATAACTTACTTTTTTGTCTAACACAGTGTTTATATCTCCTTTACACCAATATCATTAATGAAAATTGTCCACATTTTATCATACCTGGGAACAATTTAATGAGGGGAAAAATTTCACCTGCAGTCAAACCATATATCCTGGAAATACTCAACAATATTATCAACAGTGAAGGTGTGGCACTACTTAGGATTAAATGTGATGCTCTTGGTTCCAGGCTTCATCTCAAGTTTTATAACTTATGTGCATTCAAGGAAAGTGATATTATTTCAGCAACACTATTATTAAATTTTGCTCTCACTAAATCTGAAATACTAGCAGAAACTGATGATTTTCTTAAGGACAGTAGTCCTAATGAGGCTGTAGAAAAATTAAAGAACTATATATCAAAAGCACTCTACTGTCAATATGAAGGATTGGATAAGACAGCCAGTCTTCTTCTGTTACCATGGTATTGTACAACACTTGGATCTGTCCTGGCTTCACGCAACATCTGTCAGTACAACACTGTATCAGCCGATGCCCTCAAACTCATCTCACTTGGTCTGAATACAGATGTTGCATCAAGTAAACTTAAACTAGCTTCAATCTTCTACTGTGTGCAAGAAATAGAAAAAGCTGACCTAGTACTCGGTGAAATTGAAAGTAGATATGATCTACAAATTGTTGCGTCTGTCTGTGGTTGTCATCATCAATTTAGGAGAAAAATAGTTAAACAAAGATTTGGCCAATTATGTAACAATTATAGTGAAGAAGTCTTACAGTATATAACAGCATCATGTGTTAGATTTCTGCCATGTGAAATTCACTGTGTACCAACTGAACTCAGATATGAATTTTTTAGATCTACTCAAGAGGACAGACTGTTTCGTACAAAAGAAGACAACAAATGGATGGATTATGCTGTAGTGGATTCTCTCCCTTATCTATATTTTCTACAATACAAAGTTTACAGCCATTTAGGAAGATATGATCAGAAACAAGCCACGCTCTTAAAACTTATCAGTACCATAAAAGAAGAACCAAATCTTGGACATCGGGAAACAGCTCTAAATATTCTTGGAAAATGCATGGAACAAGAAGGTAGAGCTGGAGATGCTTTATACTGTTATTCGATGTCACTAAATGTAAGGAGGAGAAACAATGCCGCAAAGATTCATATTTGTATACTCCTATCTGTACTGATAAATGCAAGGACATGAAAGTTACGACAAAAATGTGGAAATGACAAAAGCAGGACAGTGAAAAAAAGTTGCAATCACAAGCTAGACAGCAACATTTATACTATTTAAATATTATATTCTTTTTGAAATAGCATATTGCTTGTAAATAATACACTTTGGAATGTGTAATAAAATTCATCCATCCCTGTGTGAAAGGATAAAACATCAGTGGATGTAGGAGAGCTCATTTGACTATTCTCAGAGCTTTATAATAAAACAAATAAAACAAAAGCCTGGATAATGTAGGAGTAATCGGAATCATTCAAAAAAATACATTACATAATTTTGAGACAAAAGAATCTTTTTTTATGTTCACAAAGGGTAATCCATAATTAATTAAAATACAGGCCTTAGAGGGTTAACTCCTATTTTGATTTCAAATAAGTGTGTGTGTAAAATAAGTAGCAAATATCTTTGGTGTTTGGTATGATGTTGAAAAAGTAACAAGTTATAACTGTAATCAAAGTGTTATGCCAACTCCAGGGTGGGAAGAATTATGAACACCATTCTTCTTTGAATATTCATATAGTATAGACTTCATGTGCATGACTGCAAGAGAGAACCGATGTGATTTAAAGAACATGCCATACAAAAAAAGTTATTTTACGGTCTTAATGGTCATATAAATACTGTAATTTAAGCAAGAGGGCCATGATGGTCCTGACAAAGCTCACGTTAATATAGAAACTCTCCATGACAAGGGACAAGTAATATTGTAAACTATTAACTAAAGCAGATATAAAATCTAAATCTTAGACTGATATCATAAACTTAATATTTGTATCTGAAATACTGCATGTGTAAAAACATTACTGGTTGCTATTGCTAAAGTAAAACAACACTTCCAAAAGATGTGTACATATAAGGAAAATGTATGACACCACTAGGACAATTTTGATTTTTTTTTATTGTTTTTACAATATACATGTACATAAAAGGAATATCAATAACCCACTTGGGCAGGGCCAATTTTTGACCCCAGGGGTTTTTCATTGGTAGACATCCATTAGAAGATTTTAATGCCAAATATCTTAGCTCTAGCTCTTTCAGTTTCGTTTAAAGAAGTTTTTTTAATCTTTACTATATACATATAAGGAAAATCAATGACTGCCCGGGATGGGGCCAATTTTGACCACAGAGCTTTAATTTGAAGAAACTGGTAGACACATATTAGAAGATGTTTTATTCTTAATATCTAAGCTCTAGCTATTTGGTGTTTTTTTTAAAAGATTTTTTTTCTAAATACATGTACATATAAGCAAAATCAATGACCCCTGGGGCAGCCCCAATTTTGAGCCCGGGGCTTTTATTTGAACAAACTTAGCCAGCCCGCATAGCTCAATCGGTTAGAGCGCGAGACTTGTAATCTCGACATTGTGGGTTCGATTCCCGGGCTGGCCAACTAAAATTACTAATCAGTCTTTCGGATGAGACTTTAAATCGAGGTCCCGTGTATGGGTGCTTAAACACTTGGCACGCTAAAGAACCAGGAGAAGCTTCTGGAATTGGGGCATCTTTCTGTATCTATAATTGCACTATCCTCCAAAAAATAAAATGACTAATACTCTTCTGGAGGACTCGCCCATATGGGCAACCGGTGGCGAGTATAAATAAACGCAAATACACACACTTGAACAAACTTGGTAGACACTAACTTAAAGATATTTCATGCTTAATATCTAAGCTCTACATGTAGCTATTTGTATTTTTAAGAAGATGTTTTTTTAGTTTTACTATATTCATATAAGGAAAAACAATGACCCCCTGGACAGGCCGATTTTAACCCCATGGTATTTATTTGAACACACTTGGTCGATACCCGTTGAAAGATGTTTCATTCTATATATCTAAGCTCTAGCTATTTGGTGTATTTTTTAAAGATTTTTTTTCTATATACATGTACATATAAGCAATATCAACGACCCCCTGGGGCGGGGGCCAATTATGCACCCGGGGCTTTTATTTGAACAAACTTAGAAAACACTCACTAGAAGATAGGCCGCTATTTGTTTTGTTTTAAATGGTATTTTTAGTTTTCCACTATATTCATATAAGGAAAGTCAATGACCCCCAGGACAGGCCAATTTTAACCCCAGGGCTTTTATTTGAACAAACTTGCTAGACACCAATTAGGAGACCTTTTAGGCTTAATATCTAAGCTCTAGCTCCTTGGGTTTATAAAGCAGATTTTTTAATGTTTTTACAACATACATATAAGGAAAATCAACGAGACCCCGGGGCAGAGCCAATTTTGACCCCAGGGCTTTCATTTGAACAATGCTGATAGACCCTCACTAGCAGATGTTTCATGCTTAATATCCAAGCTGTAGCTGCTTTGTTTTGTTTTGCTTTTTCAAAAGAAGATTTTCTTAGTTTTTTCTATATACATATAGGGAAAAATCAATGGCCTTTATTTTACCTATAATAATGTCAACAGCGATCCCTAACAGTCAGACATACTTATTTACAGTTTATTGTAGAGATATAGTTATAGAATTATACAATTAACTATCTTTTAATCTAATGATCATGCACTCTTGCTACAAGTGTAGCTGGTAACTACTGACAAATAACTCCAGACAAGATTAAATGTAATAGACTAGAAATCATGATATATTAATTATGTCACTTTAGATGAAATTAGTAATTACTGATTAGTTATCCAAGGAAGGCTGCTGATGTGGACTGACTGTTGTGGAATAAGCATAAAGACCGACTGTGACAGTCTGGAAAGTGTTAATTGTCACGATTTAAGTGAAATTTTATCCATACAAAAAAACTTTAAAACATTATAGAATTTATACTCTTTTTTATTAGACATACAATAATAAATACCTACATGTATACTATTTTTAATTAAATAAAGTTTAAAATATGAAGCCTTAAATTGTTGTGATATTCTGCCTTGGAATGTTTTGGCTTATTTTGTATACCATATTCATTGTATACAAAGCTGGTCAGATACATGTTCACCTTATCTATTGACCTCTTGCAGTAAGTGAAGAGAAAAAAGTTAGATTATACAAGATAAACTGTAATGAAGGCTGATATCAGAGATGATATAAGCTTCAGATAAGTTCACATACATTTTTAGGGTATACTCTTCAACATGTTTATTTATCATCCTGACTATGCCGATATCACACAAGACTGCTGCTGTTATAAATGATACATTATACGGTCTTTTTATCATATGTTAAAGTGTCTAAGTTTAAATACAATGCAGCCTTCTGGGATATAGAGATTACTAGTTCTGCATTCTTGTAAGTAATAGAGATTCCTTCTTATTGTTCCTACTGCTCTTGTTCAGACCATTTCCAGCACTTTTCCTATTTCCTTCAACTGATTAGTAAAATTCTGAAGAAGAAAATAAAAGAATTTTACATGTCAAATTAAATTTACAATAACATTGATCATCTAAAATTAATTTATCTATGAATGAAAGCATGCAACTTGAATACTGATGTAAGGCACCTTTTATATTTTGCAAGATTATTAATATTATAAGAGATACAAGTGGAATTTATCACTGCCCTATATAGATACCAATGACATTTTATTAACTTTGGATTTATATCTAGGAAAAATAGACAGTGGATAAGCATTCCAGTGCATCTAAAAACTGTAGATTCAGTATCAAATACATTTGTATTAACTCTGCTGCTTTGTTAATATTTCTGGCCATTATGCACCAGAAATGTTTTCATTTTTGTCTCAAAGGCATTTCAGATTAAATTTTGGTGTACTTCCCTAGTTTCAAAAAAGCTACTCAATTGCCAATTACTTTATAATCATCTTTTTCTTATGTTGCTTTTTAGCAGTTAGTACAGATATAGTGATTTATCGTAGTCAAAATACTTCTTTGTTTACATTTTGCTCCTTTTACAAACATTATTTCACATTAAGTGCTACTTTCTTCAGGCAACATGCATCTAACATGTTCTAAAGTTCATGTTTGCCCTTTCTTAAGAAGTAAAAATTTATTTCCTGAGCCATGATGTGCCTTTAAAATATCACTTGATTCAGTGAAAGTAGACAAATGCATATATCTTTGTGGAATACGATTACATTAACAATCATGCAAAAACAAATCAAAACATTCTACTCACTGGATTTAAACAAAAAATTTTCAACAAACTACGATAGATACACCAGACTTTTTTCAATTATTCATAAAAAAGATCATGTATTCAGGCCATCCTACTTTTCTCCTAACTTAACTTACCCTAAATTGGTCCATCGTAAGTTCTAGTGGATGTGTTTTGAGATTTCCCCCTGCGTCTGCTACTGTCAAGGTCAAGGTCACAAATGGAGAGTTTAAGTGTCTGCATGTGTCCGAGCTCATTGCCACGCCCACTTTCCATTGAACATCAATTAACTGTGAAAGAATATATCAAAGTGGTTCTTTTAAAATACAATTTGTTTGGAGATTTTTTTTTTAGAAATTTAGAAAATAACATGTGTTTTTTAATCATTTTTTAATAAACTTTAGTTTTGGTACTTTGTAACTCTCAAATTTTGCATACATTATGTTTATAAAATTTTTACTGTCTATTATTCAATGAATAAAACTAAATAAAGTACAATATTAACATTATATCGTCAACTTAGTGCAATAACTGATTAATTCCCATTAAATCAAGGACTTATTCCATTATGGCACTACGGTGACAATATATTCTCATATTATTGAGTGAATCGGACACTATGCACCTTTACACTCACACAAAACTGAATCTGCTCTATACCTTTTTTCTTTTTAATCTATGAAATAACAAGTTAAATTATTGCATAGAACTTACAAATTCTCGATAAATGTTATAAATTACTAGTAACACAGGTTGCAGAACAATACAAACGTAATATTGGAAAAGACACTTACATTCATTATTTTATTAAGTTGAGCATTCTGATCAGTATCACCTTTAAATCCCTAATATTATAAATGAACAGTTCCACATTTACAGGTGGACCAGTCCAATTCACAAATTTAAAAAGGAAATGGATGGAAAATATCAAATACCTGACCAACACCTAACACATGATCCCCCAAACTACTTGACATCAGTTGCTTGCCCTGAAAATAGTTTAAAAGGGAACAGGAAACTGTTATTTATAGAAATGAAATGTGTTGATAATCTAGGGTAAAAAGAAATGTCCTATAGACAGCATAAAGAATTATGTTAAATTTCAGACCAGTATTTGAAAGCACCCACTTTGTCATATCTGAACCAAAATTTGAAAATTTTACATTGTACAAGAAAAAAATTCTTTTAAAATGACTACAAGTGCAATAATCTTGGAAATTTTTTAAATTAATATCAAATCAATGTTTTTCATTTTCAATTCATATTACACAATAACAATGGTTATTCTTGTAAAACAGAGTTGATTATTGTAGTAAAACAGAGTGAACAAATTGATCTGAAATTTTGCACACAAGTTATTGGTATAGACCTACATCAACTGGTATAAAAATCTCTATAAAAATTCCAAGTTAAATGTTATTCAAGTCCATTACATAAATCTAGCAGAGGAAAGATGCAGCCAGTGCTTTCAGTGGATGATAACTACGAGTTACTATACATACAAGGAAGGTAGAGATATGTGCATGGGTTTACTTTTCAACGACACAGAAACAATCAAGCAAATTCAATAACAGCCATAAAAATGCATAACATTTACTATACAAAAAATAATAAATAAGAAGCTTTTGGGGATTTCAAATTTGCAGGAAAATTCAATATATTTCAACTTTGCAGAAAAATTCAGTTTATTATCAATATGGCGATTTTTTTCTTTTGCATCAGTTATGAAAATATTCTTTTCTTTCTAAGTCTATTAATACAATATAAAAATTCTATGGTTTATCATTATGTACTATCATTTCAAAGCTGCCTGCCTTCAACTTGTTCTTTAGCTCTCGAGATTACTTCAGGAAACATAATATTAATGCCCCTGTGACATCTGTTCATTACTAACAAAATTGCATTGAATTTCCTTAACAAAATTGCATTGAAATTTCCTGAATTTATAAAATTTGACCTTTATGGTTAAGATCATTTAAGTGTGAAGGCTATATTTCAACAAGAGCGATCAGTGATCACATATGTCCCCTCATGATAGCCAATTGCATGTTCCAGTTACTATGTAGCAGGCGACACTTAAATCTTTAACAGTGCAAAATGCAACTTATATCAAATATCAAAGGGCCATACATGTTTCCAGATCATTCCTGTATAGTTGAAATTGAACCTGTAGTTTCTAAGGAGTAGTCCGAACAAGCTTCTATGTAGCTGGCAACAAACAAAAACCACCTTTCATATTCAAGGGCCATTACTCGGCCAAAAATTATTCAACCGGAAAATCCTTGTAAAATGCACAAGTACTAGAGCTACAGATCACTCCTGTAAAGTTTCATCGAAATTGTATTAGTTGTATAAGGAGGATAGTCTGGGCAAACTTTAAAAATAATAATAATTAATGAGCCACAACTCTGACAAAAATCATTGAACTAGAAAATACCGAAGATATGCACAACTATACTTGGTACTGATCATTCCTGTAAAGTTTGGATATCATTGCACCAGTAGTTTCTGAAAAGTAGTCCATAAAAGTTTTGTGACGGACTGACAAACATGCTCAAAGTTTGGTATCCAAGTGGTTATTCATTTGTTCTCTATTTTCTTCTTTTAGACATGTAAAAAATGACCATATAATAGCTTACTGAATGAATAGCATCAATGAAAATTTACTGTTACCTATTGTTATCATAGCCCCCTAAGTATCTATATGTTTGTACAGACAGACTGACAGACAAACGACGGAGAAGTGATCATATATATCTTGCCACTATTCTGTAGAGGCGACACAAAAATACATACTTTTGTGCTATTTTTAGCTCGATTTGAGTGAAAAGCATAGTAACTTAGTAACAGTTTTGTGTCACTGTTCACAATAATAATAACTTTTCTGGAAAAACAAACTGAGCCAATGATCTGATTTTTTTAACAAAAGTTAATGGTCTAGACCTATATGAAATGGAACATTAATCTTGAAAAAAAAATTCAGTCTGGTATGACAAAAAAAATCAGTGGAGTCCCTTTATACATACAAGAAGCATACATGAAGCATGAACTTAGTATAGTTTATCTTAATCATATCTTGTCCTAATGTTTTCTTCAATAAAGGGAGACAACAAATATCCGATATGAAATAACTGCTCAACAGAGTTATCCTCTTAAGAGGAAGTTAAAAATAAATCCAGGAAAACCAAAATACTCTCATTGTTGTTAGCAACTGGGAAACTTCTCAAATGTTTTGTTTTTCTTTATAATATTTAACATCTTGTGACTTCAGGATCTTAAATCTGCAGCAGATATAATCAAAAAGGTAAAATTTAATGATTTCTCTATACTACTGTTTAAATTAATTTTAAAAAGAGGTCAAGTTTTGCAAGTTAAAATTTATTTCAAAAATAGGTCAAGTTTTGTATTGGATTAAAGATAATATGGGGAAATTTGTCAAAACCTGACTGGTGTTGATTAAAAAAATTAAAATTTGGATTTGATTGAGATTTTTGATTCAAAGGAGATATAAAAATAAACAGCATAAATCAATTTTCAACAAAAAAAAATCTATAATACATTTTTCATAAAATAACAAAATTTGATAATCATGATGATGATGTTGACGATGATGATGATGATATCAACTTATTTTAAAACAATTTTCTATAAAAGGAAAATTTAACAATTTAAAAAAATAATGCTCTGATAACGGATATCTTAGATAAGAAAATCAGAAGAAGAAGTAAAGAAATTGAATATGTTAGAAATGAACATTAATGATATTTTCAGAAATCAAAACTACCAAAACACCCAGATTGTATCAATGAGTTATCCAGAGGTTCTGGCCTGATGATAAGTGTTGATGAAGAGAATGATACTGAAGAGGAGGGAAAGAACATGGCCTTTCGTGAAAGAATCACTACCGAATTATAAATGACCAACTACTTTGATGAGAAAAGTAGCTTTAAATACACTATTTTGGGAGTCAATCAGAAGGTACAACTACAATAGGGGAATGGGAATACAAGACTAGATCTACTAATGTAACAGTAAAACATTTTAACTGTGATTAACAAGGACTGGAGTGACTTTGGGATACCTGGTATAGGTAATCTCTTGATGATTCAAGATCAATCTGTATCTCCTGGGTATTGTTTACTTCAACCTCTGAGAAATGATGTACCTCTTCCTGCTAATGGTTATTCTAATCAATACTTCTTCAAAGACAGAACAGGAAAATTATTTTTAAAGAATTCCGTAGTGTATATTATTAATAGAGACAGTGAAATACATGGGCCAGCAGGTACACATCAAGGACAACCAGGCTTCAAAGATATAGATAAAGTGTTTGCTCTACAATGTACAACATGGCCGCAACAAGCTAGACAATGGTTGGATCAAAAAGATGAAGGTCAATGGCCATCTGCTGAAATGAAACAATATTGCAGCAGAACTGGATGCTTTGTTGTTTGCGTTGGATGTAGAGGCAGTAAATATGAGCAACTTGAATGGAGAATATCAACATCTTTAGCAGAAAGGTGTTTAATGTTCAACCTGAATATTACACAGATTCACTGTTATGTCTTAATGAAAGTGATTTTAAAAGCATATATTACTCCATTCTTTCAAGATGTGATATCAAGTTACATGTGTAAAACTGTAGTCTTCCACTGTATTGCTAAAACACATTCTACTATCTGGAGAAAAAACAACTTACTTTCTTGTCTAACACATTGTTTATATCTTCTGTACACCAATATAATTAATGAAAATTGTCCACATTTTATCATACCTGGGAACAATTTAATGAGGGGGAAAATTTCACCTGCAGTCAAACCATATATCCTGGAAATACTCAACAATATTATCAACAGTGAAGGTGTGGCACTACTTGGGATTAAATGTGATGCTCTTGGTTACAGGCTTCATGATAAGTTTCATAACTTGTGTCCAATCAAGACAAGTGCCATTATTTCAGTAACGCTATTATTTAATCTGGCTGCAGAAAAATCTAGCACACAAATAAAAACTTATAAGTTTCTTAAGGACAGTAGTCCTTATGAGGCTGTAGAAAAATTAAAGAACTATATATCAAAAGCATTCTACTGTCAATATGAAGGATTGGATAAGACAGTCAGTCTTCTTCTGTTACCATTGTATTGTACAACACTTGGATCTGTCTTGGCTTCACGCAACATCTGTCAGTATAACACTGTATCAGCCGATGCCCTCAAACTCATCTCACTTGGTCTGAGTACAGATGTTGCTTCAAGTAAACTTAAACTAGCTTCAATCTTATACTGCGTTCAAGAAATACAAAAAGCTGACCTAGTACTCAGTGAGATTGAAAGAAGATATGATCTACAAATTGTTGAGCCTGTCTGTTGTTGTCATCGATTTGAGAGAAAATATTTTAAACAAGGATTTTGCCAATTATATGACAATTATAATGAAGAAGTCTTACAGTATACAACAGCATCATGTGTTAGATTTCTGCCATGTGAAATTCACTGTGTACCAACTGAACTCAGATATGAAATTTTTAGATCTACACAAGAGGACAGAATGTTTCGTACAGAAGATGATGAATGGATGGATTGTGCTGTGGTGGATTCCCTCCCTTACCTCTACTTTCTACAATACAAAGTTAACAGCCATTTAGGAAGCCATGATAAGAAACAAGCCACACTCTTCAAACTTATAAGAACCATAAAAAAAGAACCAAACCTTGGACATCGGGAAACAGCTCTAAATATTCTTGGAAAGTGCATGGAACAAGAAGGTAGAGCTGGAGATGCTTTACAGTGTTATTTTATGTCACTTAATGTAAGGAGGAGAAACAATGCTGCAAAGATTCATATGAGAATACTCCTATCTGTACTGATAAATGCAAGGACATAAAAGTTACGACAAAAATGTGAAAATGACAAAAGCAGGACAGTAAAAGAAAGTTAGAATAACTACAAGCTAGACAGCAACATTTATACTTTTTAAATATTATATTCCTTTTGAAATAGCATATTTCTAGTAAATAACACACTTTGAAAAGTGTAATAAAATTAATCCATCCCTGTGTGGAAGGATAAAACATCAGTTGATGTAGGACAGCTCATTTGACTATTCTCATAGCTTTATAAGAAAACAAATAAAACGAGAGCCTGGATAATGTAGGAATAATCGAAAATCATTCAAAAAAATACATAAAATAATTTTGTGACAAAGGAATATCTTTTTATGTTCACAAATGGTCATCCATAATTAAAAGTTAAAAAACATGCCAGAGTTATGGGCCTTAGAAGGTTAACTCTTATTATGATCACAAATGTGTGCGTGAGGTAACTAGCAAATATCTTCTGTGTCTCACAAGATATGATGTTGAAAAAAGTAACAAGTTATAACTGTAACCAAAGTGTTATGCCAACTCCAGGATGAGAAGGATTATGAACACCATTCATTTTCGAATATTAATATTGTTTAAACTTCATGTGCATGACTGCAAGAGAGAACCGATGTGATTTGAAGTACATGCCATACAAAAAAAGTGCTTTTACCTATTCTAAGCACATTCTTAATGGTCATATACATATTGTAATTTAAGCAAGAGGGCTATGATGGCCCTGAAATAGCTCATCTGAATATAGAAACTCTCCATGACAAAGGGCAAGTAATATTGTAAACTATTAACAAAAGCAGATATAAAATCTTAATCTTAAACTGATATCACAAAGTGCATATTTGTATCTGAAGATAAATTTAGAATCTAAAAAAAAAAAATCAATAACTCACTTGGGCAGGGCCAATTTTTGACCTCAGGGTTTTTATTTGAACGAACTTCCATTAGAAGATTTTTTGTGCCAAATATCTAAGCTCTAGCTCTTTCAGTTTTTTAAAAGATTTTTTTAAAATTTTTACTATAAACATATAAGGAGAATCAATGACCACCCGGGACGGGGCCAATTTTGACCCCAGATCTTTAATTTGAACAAACTTGGAAGACACCCGTTAGAAGAGGTTTCATTCTTGATATCTATGCTCTAGCTATTTTGGTTTTTTAAAAGAAGATTTTTTTCTCTCAATATATATGTAAATATAAGAAAAATAAATGACCCCTGGGCGGTCCCAATTTAGACCCCTGGGCTTTTATTTGAACAAACTTGGTAGACACCCATTAGAATATGTTTCATTCTTCATATCAAAGAAGATTTTTTTCTATACACATGTACATATAAGCAATATCAACGACCCCTTAGGAAGGGGGGGGGGGCAATTTGACCACAGGGCTTTTGTTTAAACAAACTTGGGCGACACTCACTAGAAGTTAATTCATGCTAATTATCTAAGCTCTCGCTATTGGTCTTTTAGAGGATTTTTTTCTAGTTTTTACTATATTCACATAAGGATAATCAATGACCAACAGGACTTTTATTTGAACAAACTTGGTTGACACCAATTAGAAGATATTTCAGGCTAAATATCTATGCTCAAGCTCCTTTGGTTTTTTAAGCAGATTTTTAAATTATGTAAAACATACATATTTTGTTGTTGTTTTTTTCAAAAGAAGATTTTCTAAGTTTTTCCTATATACATATATGGGCAGGACCAATTTTGACACCAGGGCTTTTATTTGAACAAACTATTGTTTTACCTATATAAATGTCAACAGCGATCCCTAACAGTCAGGCATGCTTATTTACAGTTTATTGTAGAGATATAGTTATAGAATTATAAATTAACTATCTTTTAATTTAATGATCATGCACTCTTGCTACAAGTGTAGCTGGTAACTATTGACAAATAATTCCAGACAGGATTAAATGTAATAGACTAAAAATCACGTTATATTAAGTCTGTCACCTACGGTGAAATTGGTAAGTACTAGTGCGTTATTCAGGAGGACTGTGTTGGAATATAAAGACCAACTGTGACAGTCTGGAAAATGTTAATTGTCACGATTTAAGTGGAACTTTTATCCATACAAAAAACTTTAAAACATTATAAAATTTATACTCTTTTTTTTTATTAGACATACAACAACGATAAATATATACATGTAACTATTTTCAGTTAAATAAACTTTAAAATATGAAGCCTTAAATTGTTGTGATATTCTGCCTTGGAATGTTTTGGCTTATTTGTATACAATATTCATTGTATACAAAGCTGGTCAGCAGATACATGTTCACCTTATTCTATGTGACCTCTGCAGTAAGTGAAGAGAAAAAAGTTAGATTATACAAGATAAACTGTAATGAAGGCTGATATCAGAGATGATATAAGCTTTAGATAATTCACATACATTTTTAGGGTATACTCTTCAACATGTTTATTTATCATCCTGACTATGCGATATCACACAAGACTGCTGCTGTTGTAAATGTAAATGATACATTATACAGCTTCTTTATTATAAGTTATAGTGTCTAAGTTTTAAATACAATGCAGTCTTCTGGGATATAGAGATTTACGACCTAAGTGATAGAGATTTCCACTTTTATTCTTTATTGCTTTATTGCTTCCCGAC